CGGCACGTATGCGTATGAGAGCTGCCAAGGTCGTTTGGTTCACAGCTTAAGATCTCGATCTCTGAACACCGATTGAGACATTTGTGTTGTGTATTTGCATTTAATAGAAAGTCTATGAGTGTACTTGTAGCTCAATGCGATGCAGTTAGCAATTAAATATGGCCAATTGACATTTCGTTGCCGATCGCATAAAAACCAAACAACAACTCAAATTGCCAATATCATAAATATGCGATTCAATCATTAACAATTGTCTGTGTACCAAAGAATTTCAATTGAAAAATTGGTTAACCAAGCCCTTAGGTCACAAACTTAACGAGCATTTTTTCGGCTTAGCCTCCGCCCCATTGATTGTTGGCAATGTGCCAACAATTTCAAAAGCAAGCCAATATTGTTGAACATAAGTACCTGGCATTATCTTTGAAACTTGCTACTGAGCCAGCGGTAAAGTGCACAGTAATAAATATTTATTAATTTAAAGATGGGAGTTGCTTATTGGAGAAAAGAAAAAAAATTAAGGATTAATAATAAAAAAAAGTTTTCTTCCCATATACAAAATTTATAAAGCTGGTGGTGTTTAAAAATTAATAATATTTTGCTTTTCTTCCAAGTTTTAATTTTTTGTATGCAAGAAATATAAAACCATATATTGTTTATATACGATTAAACAGTAAACCACATTCCATCAGCTTTAAATTGATAGTTTAAAAAAATAAAAATAAAAAGAATTCTTACCAGATTGCAAATATATCAGCACAGCAACATAAAAAATATACAAAAACCTTCTAAAACCATAAATAACCATTTCTAATAGGATTTTAATGTTATTGATTGATTGCTTGATTTGTGGGGCTTGTCCAAAATTTTTGCACAGCCTTTGCTCTAATGAGTTTTCTCATAAAAAATAAATAATAATAGTAAAATCAGAGCAGTAGGTGTCGGCAATTTGTTGAGCATTTTAAGAGCAGTTATGTGTGAATTAACTGAAAATTGGTCACGGCATGTTATTGTGCCTGGCTTATGCATGTGTCTCAAGGTCGTTGCCGCTGTTTGGCCCGACTCCACTTAGGCTTCCACGAGCCACTGACCAAGTTACTTGGGATGCCAAAAACGCACCCAAGCTAGCTGCACACTCATTGCCATATAATGCAAATTCTCGGCACGCACACACACACACACACACACACATCAGTTGGTGCAGATGCAGATACACCAACACTAGTAAAAAAGTATTACAGATACGCCGCTCCATAACGCAATTGGGCGTAGTGTGTTACGTAATGCACGAGTACACTGTGCACACATAGTTACATGCATATGTATTTGTATTAAACATAAATAAAGCGTTACATATCTGAGCTCTGAAAGTGCACTGACAACTATTTCCAGTTGGTAGACCGAGAAGAAATACATTCGGGTTGGAAGCTGTTACGGACGCGAGCATGAGATCTCTGTTGAATGCCCTGGAGTTTTCGGATTTCAATCCCTTTCGGTCAATGGCCAGTCAAGTTACACACTGGCCCAAGGCCAAGAGTCCTTAGCCAAGTTATTGTTACTAATGAGATATCATCGGCAAGCCAGAAAGTCATCCTCAGCTCAGTGCCAGTCAACGCACTCCAATAAGATCGCAGACTACGCCCACGTGAGAGACTGCTTGCTGGCTAGGGCTTGGCCTGGCACAACTTGAGTAGTGGCTGCACACACAAATGTTGTGCTTTTTTGGTTTCCTTGAACCACGAGGCGCAGCCATAAAAACTAATTAAATGAAATCAAGTTCCCCAAGCAATGAATTACTCGCATTGTTGCAAGTGTTTGCTAAAGCGTGCATGCCCGGTTTTCAGTCTCTCTTTTATTTTCGATCATATTTTAACGGCTGGCCAAATAGTTCACTTGACCAGGTAGTTGGGCAGCCAGCCAAGCTGTAGTTGAGTCGTTCGGTCACTATAAATGCTTGGCTTGAATGCCCACAGCACTAAGCCAAGAGGAATACCGGCCAAGAAAGCAATGCAAATCAAGCTTAAAACTATTTATTTATATGTATGTACAAATATTTGTGGAGTGAGTGCATAATAAAAATTTGCATAAGCTTGAGTCACAGCGCAATTAAGTAGCAAAACATAAAATAGCTCTACCTTTATTTAAAATTACATGACATACCACTTCCATATAGCTGAAATTCATGTGTGCCAATGGCCTAAATATTTGTATATTTCTTTAAATAAGTCATTGGGAGTTGCAAGGATTGCACAATGGCAAAGCACTAACCGAAGATTATAAAATCAACTACATAAATATAAAAATACAAATGGTTTATTAGCAGATAAAAACGATTTAAATTGAATGCGTATATTTTTTCCTATTCCAGAAATATATATTTTCTTGTATCCAACAAATACAATGACAACCGATAAATGAGATTTGATAAGTTAGTAGTTGTAGTTAAATATATTTCCTAGAACTTCATTATATCATTCAAAATTAGTAATACTCCATAAATATTGAGCCGTGTCTTTGTTTTCATTCAATAAAACAACTCAGGTACATTACACAGTTCACAAACAAGTTTACCTAAGCCGAACCGGCTATAAGCGGCTGGGTTTTAGATTCGTTCAAAGTCAAATGCAGTTTTTAAGCAACATAAACGACAGTCTCAATTGTTTTAGGAATATTTTTGAATGCCTTTTAATTAAATGCCCGTATATAATGCATTTTTAATAATATCAATTAAAAAAATATTCGTGAATGTTATAAGGAGATACCAAAGATGCCAAAGCCTATGTTACACCTGATAATGAATATCTCCAACTCTCTCGATATCTGCAACTATGTGTTGACCCACAGCCCAAAAGAGTGGCACAAAAATATCTCCATCGAACCACGACGAAACCAACTGCGACGCAGCTGCCGCTCGACCAACCTGGGGCGCTGACCATAGCCTGTGTGACTGATCTCTTAACGCGGCACCTAATTAAAAAGTTACTCGAGCTGAAACTCAAATTCGACGACTTGTATTTTGGAAAGTATTCGAGTTCGTAGAAGCCGCCCATTGGCTTGGCGGCTACTTGTCCTAGACACTGACTTCTTTTTATCATGTTGTAGTTGTTGTGAACCGGAAACTCGGCGTGCTTGAGCTCAAATGGTTTCCACATGCCACGGAAAAATTCGCATAGCTAACTCAAATTGGGTTTTTCTTTTTTTGACTGTGCCACTTTAGGCTGCCGCCAACTGCTGAGGCATGCAAATTACGCAATCCAGGCCGAAACGGCGATAATAATAACAACAACAACAACAACATCAACCGATTTTCAACAGTCGATATTTGCTGTTGTTGTTGGCGGTGGTTGGTGGCAGTGGTTGGTGGTGCTGCTGGTAGCTGTTATGATCGATCGCCAGCGAGGCGGGCGAGCAATTTCTGCGATTTGCTTTATATTCCACATTTATTGCTATTGCAGCCACAGCGTTACAATTACAAATTGTTGTTGTAATAGTTAAGCGGCGTATAAATTTAAACCAGTTTGTTTATGGCGACAGCAGCTTAAGAAGTACACAAAAAGCACAAAGTCAAATGTTGGACATTATTTACATTTGCCGTAAGCTACTTTTGTGGAACGCAGGTGGAGCACAAATTCAGAAAAGATCCGTCCAGTCCAAACTGCACATTAAGTACGCACTGCTAATTGAAAGTGTGTCCACGTGATCGATGCCACACTTGGCCAAGCAACCGCAACAGTTGCAACACGCCATGAAATAATTGAGACCATGCCATTTATAGCCCTGCCTTAATGCCTAATGCCTCCTCCCTCAACTTGCAGCTGTTGTGCAGCGTCGTCGTCATCGGCTTGGCACAGGCCCAAAACTATCCGCCACGGCTCAACATTCCTGGGGCAGTGCCCGTGTCAGCGCCTATACCGCAACGGCAGCAGGTGCTGCGCGTGCGTCGTCCCGGAGCGCCGCTGCGTCAACAGCAGGCAATCTTGCCCGCGGTCACCCAGCGTATTGCACTGGAAGAACGACCCGTCACTGAGCCCGCTGAGGACGACCAACCGGATGCATTCCTGCCCAGTTTGCTGCGCGAGCAGCAGCTTGCCCAGGCACAGCAGTCCCAGTTCCAGCAGGCGGCCGCCGCCTTCCTTAACGGCCAGCAATCTATTGAGACGGCCACGCCGGTTCATCAGTTGCTCCAGCACGAGGACAGCCAGCCGACAGCGATACTGCCAGCGCCACCACGCTTTGCCGAGCGTCCCGCAGTTGCCACGCCCATCAACCGACCGTCCTTCAATGACTTTGGCATTGGACGGTTTGAGAACCCCCAGCGCTTCGATCTGGCTCGCCCAACGCCCACAGCTGCGGCACCACCACAGCCGCAACGTGTAGCCGTTATCCGCAATAGACCATCCGCTGCAGTACGTCCAGAGCCACCAGCGCCTCTGCCCGTGGCACGTCCCAGGCCCAAGCCCATTCAGGCGCGTCCCATCATCGATCAGAATCAACTGCAGGATGAGCAACACACGCAGCAGCAGCGTCGCCAACGTCCAGTCGCCCAGACCATACGCAAGTGGCGCGATGAGAACGAAGACGGCACCATAACCTGGGGATATGAGAACGACGATGGTTCCTTCAAGGAGGAGATCATCGGCACCGACTGCATAACCAAGTGAGTGCACACCCTAATCCTTATAAATTGATATGTAAAATTTGTCTCCTCAAGGGGCACCTATGGCTACATTGATCCCGATGGCAACAAACGTGAGTACAACTATGAGACGGGCATCAAATGTGATCCCAATGCTCGCAACAATGAGGAAGAGCTTCAGGAGAACGGCTTCATTAACTACGAGGAGAATCGCGCCGTGTTGCCCAACGGCTTGGAGATCGACATGACGCAGCTGGGGAAGAAGAAGTCCAAGCGTCCCAACAGTATCTACAGAAACTAAGCACTCACACTCACACCCTCAAACTCCAGTTAGCAATTTAAGTTCAACAGCTCTTAAGTCGTCGCCTTAATTTTACTAATCTGTCTGTACTTTATTATTATTTAAAGTGAAAAATTATATCAATAGCCTGTAAGTTCCGCTGACTTAATAGGGGCGCTGACGTCGTGTGGGCGGCATGCGATTTGGTGGCGTTATGGAGATATCCAGAAAGTCGCCAATGCTGAACTTGGCCTGAGCCAGCGTCTTGTTATCGTCGATGCCTTTCTGACCAGTGCAGGTGACACCAATTTCGCGCATTTGAAAATGATTATTGCGATAATTGGGGAATACAATCGCAAAGTCAAAGTAGGTGCCCTTTTTGCGCGTATCCGGATTTACGTCGCGCACCAGTGAGGTAAGCTCATGCAGCGTCGCATCTTGCCAGGTGTAGATCTGCAGCTCGTTGGTGGGAACATTGCCGTACATATACTCGGATACAGAGTGGTGCCGACCCGTGGAGCAAAACACACGCAGCAACAGCGGACAGGTCTGAAATGACAACGAGAAGAGGAAGCAGCTCAGTATATATTGTTGCCGGCATTTTGTGTATTAAAACAAACCTTCTCGCGATCAATTTGCTTGATCTGTGTCTTCTCTTCCACAATCATCGACTCAACATTAGCCATGTTTTTGTCTATTAGTCTTCTTTTCTAGTTTGTTTAAATGCTACAATCGAAAACAAATATGAATTCAACGCACCACCAAATAACAACAACTAGAGATGAGCAGATGCTGGTAGCAGGCGCCCAAGTAACTGTTATAGAGACTTAATATATCATTGACTGCACAAACAGCTTAACAAAGTTTGCGTTGATACACATACATGTACATGTGCCGCGTATACATTAATTCCGAAATAAACTTAAAGTGCAGGATAAAATAAATGATATATTTTATTCTTATTTGAGTAACTTTAAAATCCAAATTTCGTTCTTCTCTAGAATTAACGCCATGAAGTTGGCTGCGCTACATCAGCTGTGTAATTTCAGTGCTGCCATACAAAATTCGCATTATATTAAGTATTTTTAGAAAAGTAGTACCATATTTCCGAACCAATGTCAGTATATTTGCGCTGCGGGCAGTGGGCTGGCTACACTTAACGTGACAAAAATAATGCTGAAGCAAAATTTGTGGTGAACGGTTGTGTCGGGTCGCGACTGGCGCAAAATCCGAGAACTTATATTAAACAAATGCCAAAAGGCTAAGCATCTATTATACAGAACGGATTTACGGATTGATTGCTATTAATATTTGCAATATAACAGCTCGCAGTTAGTGTTGTGCTAAAATTTTTACGTAGCCAAGCAGAAGCCAAAAAATAATATTTTGCCGTTGTCGGCGTCAATTTTCTTAAACAATTTGTAAACGGTAAGTAAATAGGTTCTTAAACTAAAAATGCTGATCCCAATTTAGTTGTCATTGCATTTACAAATTGCTTATGTAATGCAAATGCTGCAGGTAAAGTGGAAGCCAAAGATGCAAGTTTTTTACGTCCAAATACATACACGTATATGTACATAAATGTGTATGTGTGTGCATTTTGTTGTTGTTTTCCGTGCTGCTGCTGCTGCTGCTAATATGGTCACTCCCTAATTTCTCTCGTTTGTTTATAAACATTGACAGCATACGCGTAACATTTACGCTGCAATGTAATTAAAATTCAAGCATTCCCCTTCCGTATAGTATTTGCAACAAATGCGTCCCATACGCAGTGGCACATTTTGAAGGGCACAGCAAATTTGTCCTGATAAATTGCGCGTTTTTGTAAGCGATTTTCCTACAGCAGTCGCCGAATACACTACATGTGTTTTTTGTTTAAGTATATTTTAGATATACAAATATTAAAAGTTTTATTTTTTGTTGTTTGCTATTATAGCAACTTCTTATTTATTTAATTGGGAAATAATATATACATATGTGTAAATAAATAATTATATCCTTAAAAATTGCATATTTTGGTCAGATCTCATTTTAAAGTGTAAACCGTTTTTAATGTTTTTTTTTTTTTAATTTAAGCTATAATAAATGTTTGTACATGGGATTGGTTTTTTTTTTATTTTGGCAAGTGTGTCCAAACTTCGGCGTGCGTGTTTTCGCACTCTTACTATGCATCTACTTTTCCGTTGCTGGTATTTGCGTGGGTGCGAATACGTTTTAAATACCCTACACAATTCAAATGCTCAAAAAGGGTATGACACACTGCGCGTTTGCTTGCTTATTTTTATTCATTCAACGTATAAATGAAATTAAAGGCAATGTCTTTAATGTTCGGCTATACTTAATATTAACTTAATACAGCTTTATTTACTTAAATTATACTCATCCATACGTATCCAACCTAATAGGTAGATTGAGAGTCCGTCAACTAGGTTTTATAATTTGTTGTTAAGTCAAAGAAAACTTAAGACCTCTCGCAAGGATTTATGTATTTATAGATATTCCATAGATAATTCTCTTTAATAGTCATTCGAATTCTCTTAGTACGCAATAATTTCAATATGTACTTTAAACGTATTATTGTTGAGCTCGACCCTTAGTTAATCATGTTCAATAATACAGGGTATGTAACAGTTTTCATTAAATGCGTCCATATATTGTTTTTAGTTCATTGTGCACATGTATACATGTGAACATTTATTTGCATTATTGAATTTCCTCGTCATCTGCTGGCCATCAGCTGTGGAGTCCATTTCGTAAGTGCGTACTAAGAAAGGGATCCCCTCAGTCGTGACCGTGACTGACAGCCTGTAACCCCAGCAGCTAACACAATTGCTGCCTTTATTGCGTCCTTTTCTACAGATTTGTTGTTTTTGTAGTTGTTCTTGTTGGTTTTGCTGCCGATGCTGCTGCTGTTTGAAAATTTTAATTGCTTTGGGCACGCGTTGCGCTCAGACTTCATACTTTTTGCCAAGCAAAAACAAATTCCCTTAGCAGCACAAGAATCGCAAAATGGAAAATAGCTGAGACGAAGCCGAAAGCAGAGAAGCCAAAAGCAATAAATTCTGAAATGCAAATAAAATCGGCCCTTGTGCAAATGTTTTTATATTTTGTTGCCGCACTTGCTTTACCCTCGTACTGCCCCTGCGTGCATGTCTGTTGTGAGTGTTGTCGTAGTCGTTGCCTCCAAGCAGACACACTCACACACAACAGCAGCATATCATGTAAAGCTCGACCTTGGCATCCATAGCGACCTTTGTCTGGCCACGGGACAGTGTCTACGTGGAAGCCTTTGACGGTCGCCAATTTGTCTCCAGACAACGCAGTTCCTATTTGTCCTAGTTTTCAACTGAGAATCTTATGAATATAAACGTATATTAAAAAATATGATCTTATTTGTTTAAGACAAAATATCTTGAAGTGGATGATATTTTGTTCTTTCTAATATTTATAAATTTAACTGCACAGCATACACGACCCATATCATAGAAGCAAATTACTGAAAACAATAATGTTGCATTTTGGATACTCCCTTGTTGACCTTGCAGATAGTTAGTCGCTTATATTAATTAAATCATTTTTATCACTTTGTCGCTCTGCAAATCACATATTTTTGTGCATTTTTATTGATTCAATCGCCCGGCCGATGTATTCATTAACTATGCCACATTAATGATATTTTTACTCCGAAAGGAATAGATAAAATCTGTCATCAGTCAGTGTCTTGGGTCATCAATTGGACGGTATAAGGGCAAAATTAAATGAGTATGCTTCATTCATTTTTTGGTATTTTGATTGAGTTGACCAATGGCCGTGTGTCTATAGTATTCGTCTACATAAATATCAGACATACGTAGTGTTTGTTCAGTTTGCGTCGATGCTGACGCAAAAAATACGATGAGTTTTAAAATAAATTCAACTCATCGTTTTTATTATTATATCGGTTGCTATTTGTCCATTTTTTTGGCTTACTATTTATATTTTCCGTTTGCTTTTGTTTTAATAAGTTTTTTTTTTTTTGTTATATACCCAGTAAACTTAAACTCTGAAATCGGGTATAATATAGTTGAGCTAATAATATCCCAAACTACATTGAGATAAGTATTATTTAAAATTTGTTAGTAGCCAATTACTATTGATCGTTGGGAGTTACAGTATAAACATTAATATAATATCAAGCTATCTATATATAATATAAATATAACGGCGAACAATCTTACATAAATATAAAAACTAGTATTTTAATTAAGTATGATCATTCAATGTTATCAATCGACAATCGATACAATACAGTTTTTAAACATTTTCCTAAGTGTATTCTCATGTTTATTACGAGTATCAATTTTTATGTCCGACATAAATAACCTTTAGAAAGATTCCGTTGAAATATATACATCTATAGTTAATGTAAAGAACAATATAAATCGATGATTATAATTTAGCTGTAATGGGCATCTGCATCGAGCCTTCCCCACTTGTTTCACCTGCGCTTGGTAATTGACAAATCAGGCACTGGCTATTTCGTCAATGGGTTATTTTTGAGAATAGGACTGGCTGACGGAATTGCAATTGAACAGGCGTCACAGCGAGTGGAACTGCTCGTTAAGCACAATGGAATCAGCGTACTGATTGGCATTGTGGATGCCTTGACTTAAAGCATTCCTAGTTAGGGCATAAATTCTAGCAATACAATGCCTTTATGTATGTACGTCTCAATTAACGATAATAACAACGAGTAATTGTTATCAGCGTAGTCGGTAACTGGGGACAACTTGTCGACAACTGCAGTCGGGTTCATTTGGTGCGTCAGCGCCATGCTATCAATGATAAGCACCGGGCAATGACGACCACCTTGCCCATTATTTATGATTTAGTAGAAAAAAATGTGTTTTATCACCGATCTCAAACATAATTCGACTTATTTCTAATAACCTCTAGTAGTTTTCTTTCGAAATGTTAATTGAAACAGAAATTTCTGTTACGAAAAAATTAAATATATCTCAGTCGCTCTGTCAACTTAATAATACTATCGCTATTGTTCTAACATTAACAAAATCTTTTTTATATTGAACTACTATAATATAAATCTCAGATTACTTATCCCTAAGATCTTATATTGAATAAGAAAAATCAACTTTGGGATCGTTACCATCTTCGAACAATTTTTGAAAAATATGAAATAAAATGTTATATAAACGGTTAATCTTGTCAATCTTCAGCACTTTGATGAGTACTATTTGTTATTTTTTACTGATAATTCGTCTTGCGGTACGCGTCGTGCTCTGTTTTGGTCAACACATATCTCATTTGGACACATTTTGCATAAGTTGATGAAACTATTTTTGTGGCAGCTCTGACATGTCGCCAGTTGGTACTGACAGCCAGCAACAAAAGGGCCTGTCTGCGAAAATGTGTCAAAAGACCCAAGGTTGTTCGATAACCATCGAAACTTGTGAGTATAGCTAGTAGCTAGTTGGGGTAGTGTGGGGGAGCCGGCCATCATTCAAATGTGTCCCCACAGTTTGCGCCTGACTTGAGCGTTGACTCAGATGAAAATTCAATTTCTCAACAAGCGTCTCCTTTTATACAGAAATGTTTGATGATATAAACGCAGTCACACTATTCAAAACCTAAGTGCTATTAGATAATTTATAAGCGTTTCCTTGCAAATGTCGATTTAATTATTCAACAGCATAGCAAACTGAATGGACTTTCTTGCAACTAATTATCGGGTTTAACGCTTCTCCTTCCACTGAAGATGCAGTTTACAACGAAAGTATTGTTATCTAAAGAAAATCTGCGTGGGTTTCATAACGCGTTTCTGCAGAACCGTTTATTAGGAGAAACTTCGTTGTTTTTGGCTTATATACCGCAACTATCCATCATCTACAGCTCTTACTTTAGCAGCTTTCAGGATGTTTCTTAACGACCTTTAACAATTTGTTTATATTCCACGAACTCTATTTGTCAGAACCCTTTATGCTCGAGATCAATTTAAGATATTCTTTTTTTTAGACTTTTACTTATCAGTACGAGCAGACAGCAAATCCTAATTTGTTATTTTTCTATGTATCCACCCTACAGTAGCTATCAAAACCAACAATGGTAAGAAGCACAGTAGACTTCATTCGCCGAGAAAATGAAACCCAGTCTGCTCATGGGAATACCAGGAAAAGCTCTTAAAACTATCAAATGTCACATTTTCAGTGCATTAGTTGCTCCTGAGTTACCGACCCACGCTCGTTGCCTTTTTCCACCTTTTACCGGCTGCTGTGTCGACAGATTCAGGTCGTCTTGTCTTGGCTTCATTTCGAAATTGTTTTTCATATTAAAATATATTTTTACACGACGTATTATGGATTTCACTGTAATTTCCAAATAGGTATTTATATGTAAATATTTTGCTTGAAAAACTTCCCCTGTTGATTGCT